CAGGTAGACACCACAGCTCCTAGCTAAATCTCAGTTTTGAAGATCAGAATTATCATATTTAGAAATTATTCTAGCACACTTATTCCATTTATTTTTCTTCCCCACTTCCTTTCTTACCTCTGAAAAGCACCTTGAGATTACCAGTATCAATTCATTAAATACAATCTTCTTAGTATAATTTTTATTCAGTCCAACTATGGCACCCTCTTCCCATTTACAAACTAATATAGTGTCATAGTGTCCTCCATACCATCAAAGCAAGGGTTAAGCCAGGCACAGTGGCACATGCCTATAATCCCAAGGCCAACCTCACAAAAGCAAGGCACTAAGCAACTCAGTGAGAACCTGTCTCTAAATAAAATACAAAATAGGACTGGGGAGTAGCTCAGTGAGCAAGTGCCCCTCAGTTGTTCATCACTGTTACAAAAAAAAAAAAAAAAAATTTCTGGAGAGTTAAGCAGACCAGAGTATATGCAGTAGTGCAGTTTAGACATAATTGCTAAATTATGACATAATTTAGACATAAATTGCTAAAGCTAGCTGGCATTCAACTTGTGATACACCTGCCTCAGCTGGGATTATAGGTTGCTAGGCTTGAGTGAAAATTATGGTATTAATCCCCAGTACTGAAAAAAAAAAGTGGGGGGTAAAATGAGGGCCTAGGGATGTAGAGCACTTGCCTAGCTTGTGTGAGGCCCTGGTTTTAATCTCTGATCTCCCCAAAAATAAAAGAAAGTTAGGGGTAAAAGAAATACTGAAAAGAATTAAATAAATGTCGACATATAAAATCTTGAGACCTTGTGATAGATTGGTAGTTATTTGTATTTCAATATTTATTTTTCTCTTCTTTTATAGCAATAACAGAATCCTGGCCAGGCATGGTGGCACACAGCCTGAAATCCCATCAGCTCCAGAGATTGAGGCAGGAGGATCAGGAGCTCAAAGCCAGCCTCAGCAAAAGCAAGGTACTAAGCAACTTAGTGAGACCCTGTCTCTAAATAAAATACAAAATAGGGCTGGGGATGTGGCTCAGTGGTTGAGTGCCCCTGAGTTCATCCCCATAGCCCCCCCCAAAAAAAAACCACCACTGGTTAAACAGGTAAATCTTTCACACAAATATATCCCAACTACAATGACATTAAATTGTCATAATCCCATACATGAAGCTTCACAGTTCTTAAACAGCAAAATAGATTGGGTGTGGTGGCATATGCCCATCCCACCAATTCTGGAAACTGAGGCAGGAGTATAACAAGCTCAAGGCCAACCACAGCAATTGTGGTGAGGCCCTAAACAATTTAGTGAGACCTGTCTCAAAATTAAAAGGGCTGGGGACTTGGTTCAGCAGTAAAGCACCCCTGGGTTCAATCTCCAATACAAAAAACAAATTTAAAAAAAACAGCACGCTAGTAAGTTCCAACAAAAACCTTAACACAGATGGAAAAAACCAGCCAGGCACAGTGGCACACACCTGCAATCCCAGCAACTGGTAGAGGCAGGAGGATGGCAAGTTCAAAGGCAGCCTCAGCAATGAGGGAAGCCCTAAGCAAATTAGTTAGACCTTGTTTCAAAAAATAAAAAGGGGGCTGGGGATGTGGCTCAAGCTGTAGTGTGCTCACCTGGCATGCGCATGGCGCTGGGTTCGATCCTCAGCACGACAAACAAAGATGTGGTGTCCGCTGAAAACTAATAAATTTTTTAAAAAAAGGGGGCTGGGGGTGTGGCTCAGTATTTAAGTGCCCCTGAGTTCAATCCCTGGTACCAAATAAACAAAGATGGAACAAACCACTTGTGGAAATAGAAATGGCAAACTCCAAAGATTACTGCACTAAACAATGAATTTTCATCTAGATGATTTCTCTTCTAAAATGACACCAGACAACTAAGTCAAAAGTAAATGCATTACATATGGCTTTTGAGTTTTATTTATCATTCCTTCCTACCTCTATAATTCAAACAGTATTTTTTTAATATAAAGAAAAAGGTTAATAACTAGTTAGATAGCTAAGAATAACAGGAATTGATTTAGCATTTAGACAATCATTGATTACCTTAAGCAACGTTATTTAAATGGCGTAAGGGACAGAAGCCAAACTTAGGGTTTTGTTGGGTTTTTTTTTTTTTTTTT